AAGATAAATAAGACAAATCAGTGTTATGGTACCGGTTAAATAATCAAAACCAGCTGGCACCCCTGAGAAAAAAATAATTTTTCTTTATGCAAACTTGCATTTTTTCAAAGATAAGCAGCCCTATCTCTCCATACAACTTTCACCCACCCCCTTATCCTATCGGGTATAATTAAGTTGTAAAAGAGCAGTTCACCCTGGTACTCCAGATAGCAGAACCCAACAACACATTTCACAGTCATGAGTAATTCACAGCCAGTAAAGGGTCAGTTCATGACCTCAACCCTGTGGGTCCAGATCCCTCTTGGTTATAAATTGCTGGAGGTTTAATGCTGGTGATAACCTCTCATAAAATTTGTAAGTAAGTGAATATGGGAAACGATTTTCTTTTCCAGGGCATTCCTGGTTCTACATCCTTCCAGGAGTTTCCTTTCCCATGCAGTTCCTGCACATTCCTTCCCAAGCCTGGCAGGGAACCTTGGCCTTTGCTGAGAACCTGCCCTCCAAAAGAAGCAGCAGCTCCATCACCCACACTGATCCCATATTGGTATTTCACACCATGGCTTAACTTAATGGGAATTTTCAAACAGCTCAGAGGAAGAAGATGCACAGAGAACGGGCCATAACCTCAGACAAGGCCCACAAATGAACACTGGAAGGTTGGTACACAAAAGCCCAAACAGAAATTTAGAGAAGATAACCATAACCTGAAAAGCTTCAAACCAAAGTCAATGACATACAAAAGAGGAGGAGGATGGAATTTAAGGAGGATTTTGTTGTGGGGTTAAATATTGGCACCTTGACAATAAGGGCAGATGGAAGTGAATCAATCTGGAAAATGGCTGTGATGGAAAATAGGTAAAATCCTCAGTCCTATAACCTTCGATGTGGATGAAAGGCAAAGGTATACATGGAATGATGGACAGATGGCCCAGGAGACAGCTGGGAAAGGAGGACACCAAAATTCTTCAGTTCAACAAAATAACTTATTTGCATTAAAGCTACACATCTCTTACATTGTCCTAATGAAGCCTGATAATGCTTTAGGTTTGCCAGGATCTGAGATCATCTGAACGCTGGATTTTAGGAAATAACCTAAATCCTGCATCATGCAGGATTTCTATCTTTAAACACTGAGTTGTTGTCAGTCAGGATTTGAGGTAAGGATGTGAGTGACATCCCTTGCCCAGGATAGCATGGGATTAGAATGAAATYATCTTWAAGGTCCCTTCCAACCCAAACCATTCTGCCATTCTATKAGACATTTCTATTTTTGCCTTTTCAATATAAAAACCAAATAAAATGTAGTACCTGAGACAGCTTTTTCTTGTGAACACAGTTAATGCCTCCGATGAAAGCCATGTTTGGCATCACTGGTCTCGGGAACTCAAACACAAAATCGTATCTCATCAGCCAGAAAGATGCGCGGCTGAGGAGTTCTGTCGCCGTCATTTTCTTTTTGAAAACCTCGTATGCAAGATCTTCAAAGGGATCATAGATGGGCTTACAGTAAAAGAGCTCCAGCAGATGGACCAGCATGTTCTTCACCCGCTGGGAAAATGTCATRCTGTCTGAATTGTACAAGAAGAGTCTGGGCACGTAGGAAGCAGGGTTTGGACACTGGGTAGCAGCAAAGTCCATCCCACAAGGAAAGCCCCGCASGAAGTAGACGGAAGGAACGGAAAGATACTCAGCCACCAAGGGCCCGCACATCAGGATGGGATCCGTGAAAACCACATCGAATTTGCTCTCCTTCAAGTACTGCAACAGCTCCTGGTTCTGCATAAGGCTCTTACAGTTGGTGTAAAAAACAGAGGAGATTTCTACCGTGCTGAAATATGAGGTAAGCACAACATTGAGAAGAGACTGTTTGGTAAAATGAGCATTAACAAAAACCTTGAACTTTTCATCCAAATACTCATCTGTGTAAGGGATTGGATACACTTTGACAGTGTAATTCTGAGGCTCCTTGGACTTCATGTACAGACTTGTAGAGGGTACAACCACAACAACCTYGTGTCCCTTCTGCTGCAGTTTCTCCACTACCGGCCGCATGCTGAGCCAGTGACTCCCATCCTGAGGAATCACCAGGATCTTTCCACCTTCTGCCAGGATTAAAGATGATGTCAGGAGGAGAAATATCCATGTGCCTTGATAAAAAAGAGCCATTTTGATAGGAGAGAACCAGAGAATTCTGCTCCGGAGCAATCCATGCAGTCCTTTATATGACGGTCCACGTGAACTAAGAAGGGAATTTATTGGCTACAGAAATAAATGTTTAACTTCCCAATATTGTTGGGATTAGCCTGGGATATTGCAATGTTTGTGGAAGGGAAGGAGTGTCGTTAGGAAAACATTTGTACTTTCTGCTAATGTTTAAGCTTGGAATTCTGCCAGCTTGGGACACTAAGAGCAGGGGTGTCATGTTGTAACAACAGTTGTGGTTAATGCCATTGACCTGGTGAATACCGAGCGAGAAAATAATAAAAATACACCCAGCACAATGGGTGAAACACCATTCCTGAGGACACGAGGCTKATGTTGAATGCCCACCCACTGGAAGCAGCCAAACCTGCACCTCTTACGGGTATGTCACAGCCACCGGGAGGTGCAAYGCCATCCCAAATCTGAGAAGAACAATACTATTTGACTTTTTTCCTCGTGGTACTACACCAAAAAAAATGAACTGATTGGTGGGTTCCAGGCAAACAAAAGGAAAGGAGGCCAACACCATTGTGACACAAATACAGAGCCTTGGACTTCGGTCGCTGCCTTGAAAACCCTTTTCAGGTATTGTGAGCAAGTCAAAACCTAGGAGAAGGCCAATATAGGAGAGGTGGGAGACAGCACAGACTGAAAGCAGGAGATGGAACAGATTTACAAATAATTCTCATTAAATGCAGGAAGTCTGGAAACAAAGAGTTTATTGCAACTGCTGTGACAAGAACTGACCAAATTAACTTGRAAGTTGCTGCTTGCTGTGTTTTTTACTCTGGACTCGACTGGATTTTCAATAGCAAAACCATTTGGCTGAAAACAAGTTCATTTCCTTTGACTGTAACAGAAAATGTCTCTTGATAGGATGGCCACAATTTCTTATGGACTACAGAAACTGCCTGCTTTTTGTACCAGACCATCAGAGCAAAAATTGTGAGAAATTTGAGGCAGCAACAGGATGGGCAAGAGAAATGAGAGATAAAGGGAGGACAAAGAAAGGATGAAGTTCTTTGACTAGAACAGTATCAGCTGAGGTCAGGCCTAAGMTGGGTAATTATTATTGGAAAATTAACGGCCAGGCTCACTTTTCCAAGTARCAGGTAAGTTAATATGTGTTTGTTTTTCATTATGAGTAGCAAAGGGCACCTGGACCCCTCTCAGCTCCGAAGGGTGCGRTGCTCATTCCCAGCTCCTGTTTTATGTGCAAACAAGGACTCAATGAACTGCAGCTCCAAAGGTGAGAGCCAAGGGATCTTACCTGGAATGAGACCACAGTGCCCCATTCCCCTGCTTGTGGGAAACTATGTAAGTGGGGCAACAGAAAAGCCTGTGGATCCTTTGTCTGAGAAAAAACCTGCATTTTGAATCTCTTGTTCTTTCTCCCTCACCCAGTAATCCTTCTTTTCTTACCTGTTAAGCAATGGGTTCAAAAGGTTTTGGAGAACTATTTATTCTTGCCACAGGATTATGTTTCTGAACAGTCATAACCAGCCCAGGGCTCAGCAGTGTGTGTGAATAGGTGGATTTCTTTTCTCCCCTGTGACTCACTTTGCACTTGTTTGCACTCATCTGCTGGGCACTGTTCAGTGTGAAACAGGAGAAATTCCTCTGCTGCCAGTAAAAAATACAGCTAGAAAAGGAAACTGAAGCAGGGAAAAATCCACAAGGTTTTTCCAGATTTGAAACATGTGATTTTCACCTAAGGGGAGTGTGAAAATGGGGAGCTGGCAAGGATAAAATGAGGCCAGCATGTCTCTGCCCTTGCAGCAAAGTTACAAACCCTTTGCAGCTCCAAGACCTTCAAGATATAAATGTAAAGACTTATTTTGTGCAACCAGGAAGAATTTGCCTCTTAAATCTCRAACTAGCACCACTCTCATCAGCCCAACATCAGAGAATGCCTTACTTAYAATATTATCCTAATATTCTAGCTTGTAATATAATTCTTTGCKTTATTTATCAGGCTTAGTTGACTCTTCATAAGCTTGTCAAAGAGCATAAAAGAAATCTGAAAGAAAGAAAMACCCCAGCCCTTCAGCTAAACGATATCATGCAGGGATATTGTGTGACCACAATTCAGAACTGAGGGAGCAATTTCCTAGGAATGGGATTTTGTGTCCTGCTTTGTGTCTGCARAGAAATATCCYGTGTTATYGTTTTAGAGATTACATGGTATCTATCAAAATAGATTTAGATTTCCAGATTAGCTTTAAAACCTTTCTGGAAGAATTCTGATAAAAGCAAATGTCGAGGAATAGATATGAAAACCTATCTGAGCTCTGCATTCAAGTATCTTTCACTGAATCCACAATCGTAAGATTATTTCTTGCCATTTCAATGTGACGTTCATGTTCCACCCCCCCCCAAATAACACAGACAGCCAGTYTGGGAATAATCTGTCATGAAAATACAGCTAAAGTGAATAAACTGATGCTGATGAGCCTGGAGTTAAAAACAAAAGATGACTCCTGGGTTTTTGATCAGATGAAAGATATATATGTCAGATTCCATTAAAATTAAATCAGTTGGATCTGGTTGCTGAATAATACACATTCACTGAGGACAGAAATTTCCATCTGGTAGATGAAATCCCTTTTTTGCTTCATAAATTCAAATAAGACTCTATCAAGGTAATTTGATTTTAGCCTGTGGAAACCAACTACCTAATTGAATTAAATAAATACCAGAAATTAAAAAAGAAAAAAAATCAAGAGCAATAAACTTCCTGTAACAAGGTTATGATTTTGCATTGGAAAATGTATAATTTGGAGGGAAAGGAACATTACCTTCAACAGCGGTTTCTGCTTAGCACAGTTGATCCCCCCAACGAAGACCATGTTGGGCATCACTGGCCTGACGTACTCGAACACGAAGTCAAATCTCAGGAGCCAAATGGCAGCRGAGTTCACCAGGTCTATGAGGGACACATCCCTCTGAAGAACTTCTGAGGAAAGCTTCAGCACTTCTCCGTAGAAACCGTTACAGTACTGGAGCTCCAGGAGGGACATCAGCGTGTTCTCCACCCTCTGCAAAAAGGTCATGCGGTCCGAGTTGAAGGTGAAGAGCCTGGGGACGTAGGACAGAGGGCTCGGACACTGAGGCGCTGTGAAGTGCATGTTGCAAGGGAACCCCCTCATGAAGAACACGAAGGGAAGGGACAAATAGTTGGCCAGGACGGGCCCGCACATGAAGGCCGGATCGGTCAGGATGGCGTCAAAGCGGCTTTGGTTGAGGAAGCTCAGGGTGTCCTGGCTGCGGAACAGGTCCTTGCACTGGCCGAAGAAGGTGCTGAAAACRTGCACCGAGCTCTCATACAGCGCCATGGCGTTCAGGGGGAAAGGCTTCTCTGTCAGGTGCATGGCCACGTATTCCYGAAAGGACTGGTCCAGCTCCTCCAGGGTCTGTGTCACCGGGTGCTTGACCACCTTGTAGGCCTGCGTCGTCTCCATCTGCCAGCTCACCTCGGGGACAAGCACCACCACCTCGTGTCCTCTCTCGCTCAGCTTCTCCACCACCTCCTGCATGCTCAGCCAGTGGCTCCCCACCATGGGCACCACCAGGAGCTTCCCTCCGTCCGAGAGGCCAGGCAGGAGGAGGAGGATGGGAATCCAAAGCCCCAAAGCCATGTTGCTGTGGCCAAAGTAGGGGCTGTGGAAGATGCTTCTCCTGCAGGTCATAGGCTGAAGATGCTTCAGAAGGCGACTGAAGGTATTTATTGTGTTTTGCTCGGTGATAATCCTGTGGTTAATGATTCACTGCTTTGGACTGTGAGTGGTTTGKKTTTTTTTTTCTYCCCTTTTCCCTCCTTGTTTGGAAAGCCAGATTTTGTGACCCTTTCCATGCCGAGTGACTGGAGTTCCCCTGGTGTTCAATTACTTCTCAACTTACTGCTGCTCTGATCCTTCCTTATCTTTGTCACGTCTTGTGTTACACCTTGGCCAACACCCAGGAAGGCAAACTCCGTGTGAACAAGCCCCAACACCTCCGTAACAAACACAAACTGTGCTGGAGACACGGACCTTCAGATGATTTCTGCAGGGATGGAGCAGGAGACCCTCAGGATGAGGTTCAAGATTCCTTTGAGCTGGCAGGAATCTCCTCAGTTCCAGGAACACCAAGAAGAGGCGCTGAGAGTGGCGAAGTCCAGCTTCTTGCTTTGCAGATTTGTTTCCCAGCTTGGGAGGTGGCCCTCAGGTAGCCAAAAACTCCAGCAATAAAACAAGCACTGAATGTGTTTGAACAACCACAGGAGCCTCAGGTTTCAGGCTTGACTCAGCAAAGGAGCAGGATCCGCACAAACGAGATTTCCCAAGATCCATCAGCCTCACAGCATTGTTATTGATGCCAAAATTATAAATCATAACATCACCAGGATGTTCAGAGCCATACAGCCTCCATTYCTCAGGCACACGGCTTCTGTTATCTCCCTTCATACCACAGTCAGTGCMCCAAAATTAGCTGCATCTTGTTTTTCTCATTTTTCTCATATTTACTTTTTTCCCGTTTTGCCAATGTCTGTAATTATTTCCACAGAGAATAAGTAGCAGAGACCAGCTTTCTGTCAGGATTGATTTCCAGAAAATTTGAGTTTCAGAGTAGGGGAAAGAAGTTCTGCCATGAAAGTGGCTAAAATTCTCTCTGAATCTTCTATTASAAAGCGTAAAGAAGAAACATAATAACTACTAAGTATGTTCAGATTTTTATAAGCACACTTAGAATGGGGAATGGGGAAGCTGTTTAGCAAACAGCATTTTCTCMAAAAAAATGAAGATTAATTTATGTATTTTTTGATATTCAGCTGTTTGCTGTGGTGGGGTAGGGAGACAGCTGGCAGGAAAATGTCCTGCCTTCCCCTCCTTCCTGCTGCAGGATAAATTTTCCACCCAAACCTTTCAACTGTCCTGGGATGGGTGAAGTTAATCAGTACCTTGGTGTTGGTGAACTTGCCTTTGGCCTGGTTATCCCAGGTTTTTCCAGCCAGGAGTTCTGYACAAGTTGAACTTTGCCAGGTTCAAAGCAGGGCGAGATAAAAGTCGCTCCCTGCTCACATGTGAGCAAAGAGGCAGTGGGAACGTTGGATTTGGGGGAAAAGTCACAAATTTGGGTCCAGCACTGTCCAGCAACGATCAACGGAGCTGGGGAAGGGCTAAAAAATGTCCTGGGAGGAGCAGCTGAGGGAACTGGGGGTGTYTATGGAGAAAAGGACTGGATGATCCTGGAGGTCTTTTCCARGCTTGGTGGTTCTGTAGGTTCAGGACGGGCATTCCAGGCTCCGTGGGGCATTATTAGGGTGCCTACAACATACCAGCCAAGGCGGGAATAAATCCATGATAGGGGATCCCAAACTGCTCTAAGAAATCCAGACGGAGATGCCCAAATCCCTCTAAAATACTCAAGACAGGAGAATTCAACATCCCTCTAAAAAACTCAAGACAGGAGATCCCCAAATCTATTAAACCCATGACAGGAGATCCCAAATGCCTCTGATAAAATCATGACAATAGATCCCCAAACCCCTCTCATAAACCTATGAAAGGCGATTCCCAAGCTCCCCTAATAAATCTGCAACAGGAAATCCCAAAATCCTTTAATTAACCYGGAGCAGGAGAACGTAAAACCCCTCTAACAAATCCATTAAGGGCGATCCCACACCCCTGCAAGAAATCCATGACACAAAACACCTGTTTATTTGGAGAGAATCGGTCTTTATAGAATCCTAGAGTGGTTTGGGATGGAAGGGACTTAAAGCTCATCCTGTTCCACCAGGTGCGGAGGGCAGGGACACCTTCCACTATCCCAGGTCGCTCCAAGCCTTGTCCAACCTGGCCTTRGGCACTGCCAGGGATGAGACAGCCACAATCTCGTGTGAAATATCCCACCTGGAGCCCATTCAGCCTGGCCTGGAATATTTCCAGGGATGAAGGTCCCACAAATTCCCAGGCCGCCCCTTCCCCCTCACGCCGGGGAAACTACAACTCCCAGCATGCCCCGCRCGGGTGCACGCGCTTCCTACGTGACGCAGTCCCGGCTTTGCGCGGCGCCACACAACAAATATGGCGGCGGCCGCGGCACCGTGGCCGTAGGGCCGGGCCGGGCCAGGTGAGTGCGGGGTTCGGAGGGGCTGGGGGGAAAACTACCGGCAATTGGGGGGAAACGACCGGGATTTGGGGGGAAACTACCGGGATTTGGGGGCTCTCGGCATGGGTTTGTTAGAGGGGCTTGAGGGTTTCTTGGCATGGGTTGGTTAAAGGGGTTTGGGGTCTTCTGCCGTGGGTTTATTAGAGGGTTTTGGGATCTTTTGCCGTGGGTTTATTAAAGAGTTCTGAGATTTTTGCCCCTGGTTTTATTAGGGGGATTTGAGATCTTCTGCCATGGATTTATTGGAGGGGTTTGGGATCTTCTGCCTTGGGTTTTATTAGGGGAATTTGGGATCTCTTGCCATGGGTTTTTCAGAAGCTTTATGGCTTTATTAACGTGGTTGAGGACATTTTCCATGGTTTTGTTGGAGGGATTTGGAGATCTCTGTAAGRTTTTATTAGATGGGTTTTGGGATCGCCTGTCATGGCTTTCTCAGAGGGGTTTTGGGGATTTCCTGCCATGGGTTTATTAGAGGGTTTTGGTTTCTCCTGCCATGGGTTTATTGCAGGGTTTTTGGTTTCTCCAGTCGCAGCTTTGGCAGGCTGAGGCGATGTGCTCTGAGTTCTCCCTGCTTTGTGAAAGCACTGGTCCATSCAGAATTCCTTCCAGTCGATATTCCCGTGTGGTTTTTTAAGGGAACGAGGCTGCCAGCAGCAGAGCTCTGAGCATCCAGAAATAAGGAGTGAGGGAGGATTTGGCACTTGAGTGCCTCTCTGGAGTGGTGGGTGGGTGGTGTCTCCTGGATATGGYCCTTTTTTTGGGATAAAAAATCCACTCAGGAGCTGCTGAGCATTGAGGGAGGAGAATAATCTAAATGCTCAAGTGCAACAGGCCTGACTGGAAACAGRAATGAAGGCTGGGAGAGGGTTTGGAATGAGTGCCAAGCCCAGGAATTCCATCCAAGAGCTTGGGAGGAGGGGCCTTTACAGAGTTTTTGAAGCAATCAAGGGGTAAGAGCTGCATTGAGAGGAGGAAAAGCTGATTCCAAGGGATTTATTCTCTAATTATGGTCATTAGGAAAGTGAAACTTTAAAGTCTTYGTGCCTTCATGTCTCAGATGAAGAAACTCCAGGGGTTTGGAGGAGGTGGATGAGGATAATCCAAGGYAGGGGGCTGTTCACTTGTAGGAATAAATATAACATTGTGCAAAACTGAGTTATGGTGGGTTTGATTGTGSTTAAATCAGACCTGTCGTAACAGAAATGCTTTAAATTCACCCCTTTTTGTTGTATTAATTTACACTTTTGCATGGATTTGGCATTAATTTTTAGAATGGCCAGAATAAGAGGAAAGAAATGTAAATTAATTCTTCACTCAGGTCTCCAGGGTTCATCTTGGAGGATTTAAGGTSGGTGGGTTCAACTGTATTTTTTTATAGTAAATGCTTGTTTTATCTTTTTGAARGACTCTTCTGCCTTCACAATGTTTGGGGACTTATTTGAAGAAGATTTTTCCTTTATTTCAAAYAACCATTGTGGGAAAGGGAAGAAATCAAAGCCCAGAGAGTCTGAGCCTCCAGCTCCCAGGGATTTCACCAACCTCAGCGGAATCAAAAATCAGGGTGGGACCTGCTACCTCAATTCCCTTCTGCAGACTCTGCTTTTCACGCCTGAATTTAGAGGTGAGGTGCTCAGAACTTTCTTGAAATAATGTTGGGATTGACRTTTTARTATTTATTTATTTATTTAATATTTGATATTTAATATTTGATTATCACTTGTGTTTCTGTTGATTTATTAAAGGAACATAATGAACTCAGTTTCTGGGCACAGTTCACTTCAAATAAATTGTTATACAATAACATCGTAATGGCTGACATTAAAATACAGTAAATCTTTAAAGAGGGAATGTTATCTTTTTAAAGAATCTTTTTTTTTTTTTCCAATTGCAGAGGCTCTGTTCTCCCTGGGACCTGAAGAGCTTGGGACTCTGGATGACAGCAGGAAACCAGATGCCAAGGTGTTGGGAATTTTTTTGTCAGTCACTGTCCCACGTTGATGTGGAGAAAAATGGTTCCAATTCATGTGAAATTTGGGAGAATGAATGAAAACCTGAATTTGATACTGAAAGGCAGTTTGGCCTGGCTGATGCTGGATTTTTTTCACACAGTTCTAAGCTTTCATTGCCACAAGGTTTTGCTTCAGAAATCAGATACTGAGTTTGTTTCTGCTGAGATGTTCTCCCTTCCATCTCATTCCACCCCAGCACCAAGCCCTTCAGGAGTGGGACGTTGGGACAAGGGATGGAGGGACAGGACACAGGGAATGRGGTCACACTGCCAGAGGGCAGGGATGGGTGGGATATTGGGAAGGAATTGTTCCCTGGAGGGTGGGGAGGGGCTGGGATGGAATTCCAGGGAAGCTGTGGCTGCCCCTGGATCCCTGGCAGTGTCCAAGGCCAGGCTGGACACTGGGGCTGGGAGCACCCTGGGACAGTGGAARCTGTCCCTGCCCATGGCTGGGGGTGCAATGGGATGGGCTTGAAGGTCCTTCCCYACCCCAAACYATTCCATGATTCTGCTCGGCTGTGTAAGGTGAGCCACTGTCAATTTTTGGGACAAAGTTTGTCTGCTTGGTCTAMATCAAGGAATCTGTGTCATGAAGGTTGTAGCCAGGGGTAGTTTATCCCAAACTTTGTACTAAATTCCTCCTGTTTTGTTGAAATTAGCCATTTGAAGGCTTTTTCTGATCTGCTGGCTGTGTTCTCTCCTTGTTTCCAGGTTCGGATAATCCCACTGCAGCTGCAGCGCTTGTTTGCTCAGCTYCTGCTCCTGGACCAGCAGGCTGCATCCACCTCTGACCTCACYGAGAGCTTCGGATGGAGCAGCCATGAGGTGCCAATCTCCTGCACTGCCACGCTTCTCCCTGCATCGAGATGGGCTCTGGCATTCAGGAAATGCCWTCAATCCTTCAGGCTGTGGAGATGGCATTGAATTGGGTCAGCTGTTGGTGGACCTCCACATGGAGTCCATGGCAGTAGTGTGCCAGAGCAAACACAAGATGATTGTTCTCTTAGATACAATTCCAGTTGCTTTTCCTTTGTTTTTACAGGAGTGTTTCCAACAGATTTCTTASCCTCACATACTTAAATTCTCAGCAAAGTTGAACTATGTCAGTCAGAGATTAATCTAAATCTGGAGRATGGCTTCAAACTATCAGAGATTTGATTTAGATGGAATATTGGGAAGGAATTGTTCTCTGTGAGGGTGCTGAGGCTCTGGCACAGGGTGCCCAGGGAAGCTGTGGCTGCCCCTGGATTTCTGGCAGTGTTCAAGGCCAGGCTGGATGGGGCTTGGAGCACCCTGAGATAGTGGGAGGTGTCCCWGCCMWKGSMRGGGATGGCACTGGACCATCTTTAAGGTCCTTTCCAGCCCAAACCACTCTGGAATTCCATGATTTATCCAAGTAAAGGTGTCTTARGTACATACCCAAATTAAAAATAACAGCAATAAAGGTAGTACTTTACTAGCCAAGGAGYAAATACATGAGTAGTCACCTGAGAATCTTGTTGACAGTTGAAATATTTTATTTTAAAGGAATAAGCCAAGTCCAGCAGTGTTTCACTCCTTCCTGTTTGGTTTTGCTCCTGCAGGAGATGAGGCAGCACGATGTGCAGGAATTAAACAGGATCCTCTTCAGTGCTTTGGAGACTTCCCTGGTGGGGACGTCGGGCCACGACCTCATCAACCGCTTGTACCATGGGATTGTTGTCAACCAGATTGTCTGTAAGGAGTGCAAGAATGTCAGTGAGAGACAGGTAAAGCCAGGGATTTTCCACTCCTGGGTTCTCTTCAGTCTGTTGGCTTGAAATATTCTTGTTTTTAAAGTCAAAAAATAATGGCATCTTTGTTGAGTGCCTTGTTGAATACAGGTAGTGAGTACAGGACTTTAAGTCTCGGCTGCATTTGCTAAACTGTCTCCATCAGGGGTAGAAACCCAAATGTCCTGCATTTTCCATCAGGGGTAAAAGCCCAAATGTCCTGCATTTTCCATCAGGGGTAAAAGCCCAAATGTTCTGCATTTTCCATCAGGGGTAAAAACCCAAATGTTCTGCATTTGCCATCAGGGGTAAAAACCCAGATGTTTTGCATTCTCCATCAGGGGTAAAAACCCAGATGTTCTGCATTCTCCATCAGGGGTAAAACCCCAAATGTTCTGCATCTTCATCAGGGGTAAAAACCCAAATGTTCTGCATCTTGTGAGTTCACAAGCACTGCCTTTGGTGATTGTAGTTAGCAGAGAGCTGAGGTAATAAGAGCAAAGCAGATCTTCACAGTTTTCTATGCTCTTCGTAATTTTAAAAAATAGGGTTTTAAAAATCAATTTCTCTTCTGTGGATGTGTGAGGGATTTTCTCCTAGCAGCTGTGATAAATAGGATGAGGATCTTTCTAATCACCACAAACTTCGAGCACTCAGAACTTCATTTTTTGTTGTCCTTTTTGCACAGGAAGATTTCTTAGACCTCACGGTGGCWGTGAAAGGCGTTGCAGGCTTGGAGGAGGCCCTGTGGAACATGTATGTAGAGGAAGAATACTTTGAGAATGACAACTTGTATCGATGTGGAGCCTGTGATAAACTTGTTGAAGCTTCAAAGGTAACACCATGGGGTGTGATGATGTAGGGTTAGATGGGATTTGGGAGAAATACTTCTCTGRGAGGGTGGGGAGGGGCTGGGATGGATTTCCAGAGAAGCTGTGGCTGCTCCTGGATCCTTGGGAATGTCCAAGGCCAGGTTGGACATTGGGGTTTGGAGCACCCTGGGACAGTGGAAGGTGTCCAGGGGTGGATTGGATGGGCTTGAARGTCCTTTCCACCCCAAACCATTCCAGGGTTCTATAAAACCTTGGCAGGGATGTCAAGAAAAGCTCCTGTTGCTCCTTTCCCAGCTGTTGCTGCAGTTTTTTACATCTTCTGCACCCTGGCTCTGGGCATTTTGGAGGGTTGGCTAAAAGCTAAGTTAGAGCATAAAAAATAAAAACAAACAGATCTATGCAATGCGAGAAATCATAGAAGCTCACTGCTGTAGAACCCAAATGATAAAAACAATGAGCAGCTGCTGCTCTGTGCAGGGAATGGGATCTGTTCAGTTTTTGGTGGAGGGAAGCAGACTCGGGCTGTTGGTGCACTCTGCCCTCGTCACAGCAGCAGAGCTCCTTGTCCTCCTGCAGCAAGGGGCAGTGAAATCCAAACCCTGCAGCCCTGTGGATGTGGATCAGTCCAAAGGGATGCTGAGGACAGGCCAGGTTAATCAGTGACTTGGGAGTTCAGGAGCACTCAGCAGTGCCTCACATGTGTGGTGCAAGGGCTGGCTGCAGTTTAACTTGGCCAGGTTCAGGGCAGTACAGGGTGAGTTGTCTGCCCCTCTAAAGGGCTCATCCATGCAGGARGGCGGTGGGAACTCTGAATTTTGGTAGGAAATCACAGAGTGATCACAGARACACAGAGGGAGTTTCTCTTCCTTGGAGGCTCCTTGTTGTGACTATACCAATGGAGGGGAGAATGGAGACGTTGGAGAGGCTCAGAAACGTGGCCATGGAATCCACAGCTGCAGTCAGAGTGGTACCAGATGGTTTGTTTTACTTCTCACAAGACTTCTTGATGTGCTCACACACCAAATGGTTGGATCTGGATTAATATTTTCCACATTAAAATGGATTATCTTGGCCTTTTCTGCTTGGAAGATCCTCCCCTGTATAAATGACGGTCACTTTAGCTCCTGGKTGTAGCTCCTGGCTCTACACAAATGTCATCACTGACTAGAACTTCACCTATATCCTTTATTTGCTGTGGCAGGATCAAGTATGGGACTGGTGATCACCARTCAGGGAAGATGTGGGTCTTAACAGGGGGAAAGAACTTGACTTTTTTATTTTGTGTGGTTGGAAGAAAATTGAGAATTACTGAAGGCATTTTAAAAATTATCTTGTCTGCCTGGTGGTAGCAAAGCTTCGGTGGAAAGGAGTTGACCACAGCAAGGTGGAAGCCMAATTTTCTTCTAACTCTGTGCTTCAAATGTTTTTTTAAATCCCTTCCCAGTCTGCCAAACTGCGCAAACTGCCTCCGTTCCTCACCATTTCCCTGCTGAGGTTCAACTTTGACTTTGAGAAGTGTGAGAGGTACAAGGAAACGAGCTGCTACACATTCCCCATGCAGATCAATCTGAGGCCTTTCTGTGAGCAGGTGGGTGCTGTTACATTTCTTTAAAGTTTTTGTATGCTCAGCAGAGAACTCACATCTCAAGGATTGGTTATCTTTTATTTTGCGTTTTGTTAGGGCAAGGTATTTGAGTAACTTTGTGGTGTCCTCCACTTTTGAGCTGAGTGGTAAATACCTTGTAAATTATTACCAAAAATTATCTCACATTTCCTTGACAATAAGATTATCACCTGGAAATGGAAATTCAAATTTGTTGTCTCATTGTTAATCTCTGGTAGCATGTGTAAATTGAGCCATCTATGGTTTTTTTGCCTGTAGTTGTTCCATTGTTCTTAAAAATCTGGATTTACAGTGATAAATACGATTCTGGTTATAAACTGAAGTATTCCATTGCTTGATGACAATTTGTGCTCCTGAAAGAACATAATAGAGACACTGTTATGGAACAGACGTTTTTCTTCTTGAAGTGTTGCAGTGCAAGCTTGGAAATTTCTCAGTGTTTGCATTTGAGGAAGCCTTCCCCCCCGCCTTGAGTTTTAGTGTTTACAAGTATTGCTTCTTTTTGCTCTCCTCTTTTAAACAAAATAAGCCTGGTTGTGAACAAACATTGAAAATGAAAATATTTTGAATTTTCAGTATTATTCAGAATCCTGCTCATTTAATAACAGAGGTTTCCCAGAGAAGCTGTGGCTGCCCCAACCAAGTGTCCAAGGCCAGRTTGAATGGGGCTTGGAGCCACCTGGGATAGCGGAAGGTGCCCTGGGCAGGGAATCAGATAATCTTTAATGGCCCTTCCAACCCATTCCATGATTTTATGAYTTATCAGCCTGCTCCTTGTGTCAGTCCTTCCTTGCATCCCCAGCCCTGAAAAACCATTTCGATCTCTGCACGTTCAAAAACACACTGAGAAATGTCCAAAGTGATGCTGAAGGTGTAAAGCTGTCCTTKTGTGAGAGACTTGCTGACCTCTGTCGTTGTTACAATTATTGTTTTTCCTTTTAAAGACTGAAATGGATGATTCAGAGTACATGTATGAGCTCTTCTCTGTTATTATACACAAAGGTGGCTGCTATGGAGGACACTATCATGTTTATATCAGAGATGTGGATGAATTAGGAAACTGGCAGCTCCAAGTAAGTCCTAAAGGGTTTTCTTCCTGGCTTTAGAGGTTGAATTTGTCAGAAAAGTGTTAAGAGCTARTGGATGAGTGTGCATCCAAACTTAATTAATGTTTTAATGAGGCTTTGTGTGTCTTTGTGTGTCAGCCTCATCAGAGTTTCCTTCACACTTCTAAATTGTGCATGATGATGTCAGCACAGAATAACYGAACCCTTTAATTTGGTGTGAAACAACATTTGTTAGTGTCTTTCTTACCCAGGAAGAAGAGAATGGGCTGATTGAAGAGAAGGCTGTAAGAGCCACTGAGAATGCCAAAGAGACAGAAAACCCGCTAGCAGTCCTGAAAGGGATTTTATCAGAGGTATGGTATGTAAGGAGCTCATTGCTTGGATTTTGGAACTGGGGAACCTCCAATGGGTTGGTGTTGGTGACAGTGGGCAGGTTTAATGTCCAGAGCGCTTCTGAACTTGGTGTGAAGCATTTAAAACTTGGCTTTAATATTAATAATGGCTCTTCATACAGAAAAAGGTCTTCTTTGAATATTTCTTACATTGCTCATCAAAGTTACAAAATGAATCACGGAATATCCTGAGTTGAAGGGACCCACGAGGATCATGAATCCAACCCCTGTTACAAACACCCCAACAGTTCCACCTTGTGCCCCCCTGAGAGTGTTGTGACAGCGTTGGGAATGTTCCAGTTCCCTGGGGAGCCTGTTCAGTGCCCCACCACCCTTTGGGGGAACCACCTTTCCCTGATATCCAACCTAAACCCCACTTGACACATCTTTAATTATTAAAAACCAGCAACGATTAAATCACTTCAAAATTGGCTTCTTTGCATTGGTCCCTTGACTTCTGTAGCCTTTGCTACCTTAGTTTCTCATTTCCCTGTAGGAAGAAGCTAAACTAATTCCTGTGGATCAATTAGGGCAGAAATTATTGGAGAAGCAAGGGGTGTCCTGGAATAAGAAATACAAAAAACAATATGGAGCATTACGAAAGGTAATCACATGTTTGTTACTTTTGGTTTTAGGTAAATTTTATAATCATTTATATTGCTATTGAATAGTCAGGAGGATGATAATTGAGAATATGGACCCTTGGATTAAAATAAGTTAGGAGAGGTTTGTAATGTGATTTAGCAGGCTGGGAACACAAGATTCCCAAGGAATCGTCTGCCTGAAAGTTTGTATATTTTTCTTCATCTCCATGGTTCTTAAATATAAAATATTAACCTTAGCTACAGAAATGAGGGTTTGAAAATGTATCCCACTTTTTGGTTGGTTAGAACATGYCCATGAAATTAATATTCCAATAAAACCTTGTTTTATAGTTGGTTGCTGTATTTTATAAAGTAAGAAAAGTACTTTAGCATTTGTGTTGTGGGCAGGTGGAGAATTGATGTTTGCCTGGTTTTTGAAGGAGCTACCTGCAATTTCCACMGTAATTATTTAAATGTAGCTGTGAAATGTGGATGAGAGGCTTTTGCAGAGGTAAACTTGAGAAAATACACAAGGAAGCACCATCAAAAGAGGGTTGAAGTAATGGGGTTTGTGATCCACTTTGAGGAGAGGCAGGTGAATGCAGCATTTAAAACTTTGGAGCCTTCTTCATCTTATCCTTGCTTCCCTTTCAGTATCTGCAGAATCATCCTCAGATATTCCAGCTGAGTCCTGATGGGCATAAAGTTGGCCTGAAGGAARCACACAAACTGCTGTTCCAGCTGGACTCTCATGGGCACGACCTGCAGAGCCCTCCCCAGAAGAACCAGGTCCTGTGGAACTGCGAGAAAACCCCGCCGAGGCCGAGGGCCGCTGCTGCCGGCTGCCACTGGTTTGATCTGAACGATTCCAAGGTGCAGCCCATCAAGGAGAAGGACATTGAGAAACAATTCCAGGGCAAAGAGAGTGCCTACATGCTGTTCTACAGGAAAGCTCAGCTGAAGAGGCCCCCTGAAGGTACCTGGACATTCTGGAGGACTTTCTGCTTTTGATGTTTTTTTTTTTCTGGAGGGATGTTAAGCTGTTCTGTTCTTTCCAAGGTTTTCTTTTTTTTTTTCCCATGGTTTTCCATGTAGTGATAATAAAAAAAAGAGAGAAATGAAGATACAAGGAGATAGTGATTTGTTAATTGGCTATTGGTGACTATTTCTTTTTAATATGCTTCAAAAATTATAGCAGAGCATCAGCTGAARCAAACACAAGTTATTTTTAATGGCATTTATGTATTAACTTCCCTTAAAGAAAGCTTGATTGCAGGGAGTAAAAGCACTTYTTTGTTCTTTGTATCATCTTGCAGACGATTTTTCTCAATTGTTATCATAATTTTTTTGAATTTTCAGTGATTCTTGTATTGCAGTGCCTCATCTTGATCACTTTTCTTGCTTGCCTCACCACATTTTATATCTTTTTTGGTTGCAGCACGAGGAAATCCAAGGTACCAAATTCCTGAGCACCTGCTGAATGAAATGAACGCTGCTAATACCGAGCTGCAGAAAAGGAGGTACRTTGGTGTCACTGTAATCATCTCAAAGGGCTTTTATCTGCAGGACTCCCAAGGGATTTGTAAGGAAAGAAGCTCCTTGAGTGGAGTCAGTACTGAAATGATTCAATGTCACAGAGGTTAATTGAAAAATATTGAAAAATATAATTTTTATCTCCGTATTCTCATGCTTCCCTGCCTGCCTGTTAGCAGGATCTACAGAATTTCAAGAGAAACCTTGAAATAAAAAAACTTGCAGTTTTGAATTTTAGCATTTTTTGTTAAAAATCACTGTAATTTTGGAAAGACAGTAAAATGCATTATCTGAGTTGTATTTATAGAAGGAGTTCTCCACTGGGAGAAGGGGAAATGACTGGGTTTATTGTGAATTAAAAGATAAATGATATTCTCKGCCACAAAAGTGGAGGGGTCAGCTCATGGTGTTAAGGTTGGACAAAACTTTCCCTTGTGTTGAGGGACACAGGTGCTGATGCACATGAATCACAGTTAAGATATCAAAATATGGACACAAGAGTGTTTTATGGGATATTTCACACAGAATTGTGGCTGTCCCAACCCTGGCAGTGTCCAAGGCCAGGCTGGATGCAGCTGGGACAGGGAATATGTCCCTGCCCATGGCAGGGGTGGGATTGAATCATCTTTAAATCCTTTCCAACCCAAACTATCCTGGGATTTTGTCTCTGAGCAAATTCCACTCCTTCGTTTTTTAAAATTATTTGCTGCTGCACTGATCTGCTAGAACCAGATACAGGTTTAAAGGAGGAGGGAATGTGACAGGGAATTCAGCCCTGGGAGTATCAGTTCCAGAGCAGCTGTTGGTGTTAAATTCATCAGTTTGTTGTTTATTGTTGTCCCAAAGAGCTGAATGTGACTCAGCAAACAATGGCATCGATTTGCATCTCCATCTGAGCTCCTGCTACAGATTCCACAATGGGGCTTTGCATCCTTCCCTTTCATGGAAAGAGAGCGTGGTGGATTTGACAATTGACAGAAGAAAAACGCTGGGAGACCTTCGGCAGGCAGTGTTCCAGGTACCTGCTCTACCAAATAAACTCAAAACTTCATTTTCRTTTGAGCCATTGCAACGTTTACAGRCACATTTATGCTGCAGCCTTTGTGTTGAGGAATTTTTCTCAGTAAATGGAGTTTAGGAGGCTAAAAACTTGGGTTTGCACAGGAGGAAAGTGGTGTGAGGTCTGTTCTTGAAGCCATGAAATTGCTGTAATTCTGACTATGGAGACTTCAGATCTCACATCAGATAATTAATTATATTTGGGCAGCATGTACATGGCCATGGATTGACCTGCAGAACTCCAGGATTATTATTGATATTTCATTTTGGGACAGATTTGTCTTTGTCTTTTCTAGGAGTCACCAATTAAATGTCCCCAAGTGAGCTTGGGAGCCAGGCTGAGACAGCTTTCAGCAGATTGTGATCATTGTGGGTGCTGTGTGTTACTGCTCAGGGTTAATTAAAATAATCTTTCTGGTTCTTTTCCCAATTAGATGTTGGAATCCTGGGAAGGGGACATGGTTCTCAGCATGGCCAAGCCTTTGCCAGCAGGATTACATCTTTACCAGGTGCTGGATGGTAAGGCCACTGCATACAAGGCTTCCATGTTATTTCTRTATTTTAATTCCTGCCGACATCAGAAGAGTTCATCTATAAACCGTCTCAGAGATGTTTTTTACTGAACACTCTTCCAACTCCAACTCATTAGTTAGTTAAATTATTTCTTTCATTAGTGAAATTAATGATTTTGAGATTTCCCTCTGTAATCTTTGTTGTGAAATGCAATAAGGCTGCAGATCTCAAGCAAGTTAAACACTTTTGCTGACAAGAATTGATCAGTCTGTGTTTTGCCCTTGATTTGCTTGTGGATGTTTGCTTTTAGGATTGGCCTGATAGGTGGAGGAGAGGATAGAAGAGAGGAGCCAGGGTGACATCAGAGGAAAATGTAGGTTAGACTTTAGTCAGTAGGAATTTTGTAAAGGGAAATGCTCTCCTAAAGAGTTCATTCATTTATTAAGGGTACACTGCCTTTTAAATCATAATTTTTGTCTCCACCTTTGCATTGTTAGGCGATTCCACGTTTTAATCTTTAAAAACCTACTTAGTAACTTCAATTTTGTGTTTTCTGTGGCCAGCTTCCAAAAATCAGTGTTGAACCAGAATACAACTCAACTCCCCATGATGTTGACATCAAAACACAGAGCTGCTCTAAATATTGCTCACCGTGCTTGTGCAGTTCTTTTAGGGTAGTGACTTTTAGACACTTGCTGATCYTATTTATGTGTTTTTTGGGGGCAAGAAGCTGACAATTTGCTCCTTTTTTAGGAGATGAGCTGACCCTGGATGCCATTGGGCTGGCTGATGGAGCAGACATCTTCGTGTGGAATGGGAAAGAGGTAAAGGAAGCATACCCTCCTTCTTTGTAACATCTGAAGACATAAAACCGCATGATCTCCTGGCAATCTGTGTTCCTTTTGTTGTTTTCCTTTTTTTATTAAGGTTTCCGCTTAACCTGGAAGTGGTTGTGAAACACAGCATTTTATTCTGTCTCTCTAATGGGATAAAATGCTACTTTAAAATTATTTTTATGGTAAAATGATCCATTTTATTTTGGCTTTATCCAAAAWGAGACCCCAAAACTGAAGAAAACCACCCAAACATGTAGTGACAAAGTTTTTTTTTTGTTTTGGTTTGTTTTATTTTGGTTTTCTTGGGGTTTTGTTCTTTTTTGGTTTGGTTTGGTTTTTTCTGTTTGTTTTGTTTTGGGGTGTTTTTTTKATTTTTAGTGTTTCTTTTTTCTTTTGGGTTTTTTGTTTGATTTGCTTTTGTTTTTAGTTTTTGTGGGCTTTTGATTTTTTTGTTTTGTTGGGTTTTTTTGTTTTGGTTTTTTTTTGGGTTTTGTTGGTTTTGGGTTTTTTATTTTAGTCTTTGTTTTTTTAAGTTTTGTTTTTGCTTTTTTTTGGTTTTGTTTTTCTGGGATTTGTTGGTATTGTTTTTTCTATTCCAGCTTTTGTGTCATTACATTTCCATCAACAAGGAACTGCATTTATTATTTCAGTTGAATATCAGAAAGACCAACTTTTAAAATACAACCCAGTCACATTTTGGGAATTCTTTAATATCCTGAGGGGCTCAATTCCTCTCTTTTTAATTTGGCCAAGTGTCCATTGGTTTCCCAGTGTTTTGGGAAGGGATTTAATGATCTTATTCCACCTTGTGCCAAGGGCAGGGATGGCTTCCACTATCCCAGGCTGCTGCAAGCCCTGTCCAACCTCACCTTGGACACTTCCAGAGATGGAGTAGCCACAGCTTCTCTGGAAAACTTTCAGAGAGTGGGTTTTTTTTCCCAGCACCTTTGGGTTACTCTTGTGGTTTTTTCAGTAAGAATTCAGTCCAAAGTAGTTTGTCGTGAAGAGAGAGTGTCTTTTTTTTTCTCAGTAATTTTCCTGTTGTCCAGTCTCTCCTGCATTCTCTGCATCAGCCCCRCACAAACCTGGCATTCCTTCCTTCCTCCCCTCAGGTTGGAGGCATGAAGGTGCTGCCGGGCCCCGAGCACGAGCCCGTGGTGCTCAATGTCCTTCGGCTGGCTGAGCACAACGAGGGAGGGAAGGGGCAGCACTTCACAGAGTCGCAGCACGTGTTCYCCTGCAGCACCAGCCTGGGCCAGCTGCACGCAGCCCTGGCTCCAGCCGGAGGCATCATCCTCAAGAACGGCTCGGGAGCGGAGAGGGACGCCAAGAACTGGGAGCTTTTCCGTGAGGAGGACATGAAGGAAACGGTCAGAAGTGTTGGGCTGAGTGATGGCTGCTCGGTGCTGATCTTAGACAGCCACGACCAGAGGTAACTTTTGATTGTAATTAAACAAAAAAAGCAATTTTGACAAAATGTTTTGGTTGAAATTCTGTTCGATCCTATTTGATTGTAGTCTATTCGATTGTAATCAATTCCATTCCATTCTATTCCGTTTGATTCTGTTCCATCCGTTCTATTCCATTCCATTGTATTCCATTCCATTCTATGGTGTTCCATTCCATTCCATTGTATTCCACTCCATTCTATTGTATTCCATTCTACTGCATTGCATTCCTTTCCATTCCACTCCGTTCCTTTCTGTTGTATTCCATTCCATTCTATTGCATTGCATTCCGTTCCATTCCATGGTGTCAATTCTATTCCATTCTATTCTATTCTCTTCTCTTCCATTCCATTCCTTTTCATCTCATTCTATTCCATTGTATTCCATTCCAGTAACTATCACTTTGAGCTTATCAATACAAGTATTTTCATCTTAACATTTGGAGACCAGGTATTTACCAGCTCATAGGTTTTTCTTGCCTTCAAAGTGCAGCAACAGTCGCATCCTTCGATTTCCACTTGTCAAAGGGGGAAAACCTGGTGGCAGCAACTCGTGCTCAGCTGAAACTAAAGTTGCCAGGGGCAAATYCGTGTTCTCATGACACAGTCTGTGCTCCCTGAGACCTCTCCCCCTACTCTGTGAAATGCCATCACTATGAACAACTTTACCATCATCCATTTATTTGGGAGCTGTGCTCATGGGGTAGTTGAAGATGTCCCTGCCCATGGCAGGGGGGAACTGGATGAGCTTTAAGTCCCTTCCAACCAAACCATTCTAAGATTCTGAGTGAATTCCACTCCTTTATTTTTTTAATTGTTTGCTGCTACATTGAGCTGCTTGAACCAGATACAGGTATGAACAAGGAGGGAATGTGACTGGGAATTCAGCCCTGGTTTTGGTTAAACATCAGAAAAAAAAACTTTTAAATGTAACTCAGTCACATTTGGGTAATTCTTTAATGTCTGAGGGTTCTTGATTTGGCCAAGTGTCCGCTGGTTCCCCAGCTGCTGCTGCCCTGGAGTGGTACCATGATGTAGCCCTGTCCCTGTGCACTTTCCYTGTCTCTGATTGTCCTTGCACTGCTGATTCCCACAGCTTTGTCAACGTGGCAAGTGGCAATTTGACTGCCTTCACCTACGACATCAGCTGGCTCCAAGTGAAAAACCTCTGTGGGGTGGAAGAGGAGGAGAAGCATGTCAAAATCACTGCCACCATTGAAACGGTAAGGAGTCTGCTTGCTGAGCAGCTTGGCCACTGCACTTGGCCCAGCTCATTCAATTTAACCTCAGGGATGAAGGCTGAAAATATTTCTTTCCCTGCTGAAAATGTTGTGTRGCTCAGAGTTAAAATTCTTGGGATATTTGCAGTTAATAACTTAAAGCAGTGCAGTGTTTTAGTGCCAAACAKTTTCWTTTTGGACTATGCTGTGAATGGATKTTGGAGGTGGTGTCAGTAAAAGATGAGGGAAGGGTGATTTGCTGCTCTTTGAGCACTGGCACTTGAACAAGCAGGGGTGCTGGTGGCATTCYAGGCTGGAGGTGTTAATTTTTTCATTTCTTTTAGGTGATGTCAGATATCAAAATGAAAGCGATACGGGAGCTTCAGCTGGGGGAGGAGTTAGGTGAGTGTTCAGCTGCTTTATCACTCTGATAATGTTACTATTTACTGTTTTTTTAGTGGTGGAATTTTCCTTTCAGTGAAAGAAAAAAAGCTGAGACTGATGGAGTCTCTAGGAGTGTCTCTCCAGTGATATTTTTGATGTCACAGAGGGAGRCCTCTAAGATAAACCCATTGTAATTAATCTTAAAGGTGTTACCTGTCTGAAATTCTGAGCCAAATTCATTCCTATTTCGATTTCTTAATATTTCTCTCTTTCCTTGCTGCAGCAAATGAGAGCTGTCTTAGACCTGTCAGTGGCAATGGGAAGCTCCTGTCTCCAGGTAAATTGATTTATTTTGCCATTTTTCTGTAARAAATTCCCTAGGGATGTTTTAAGCCTTTGTCCTTTCCTGGGAGAAGTAACTCCACTGATTCCCAGGCTTAATTGAACCAGTTTTGTGGGGTTTTTATCCAGTTTTAAAGTCGATTAACAGTACCAACACAAAGGTAGGGAYTAAATTTAAATRTTGAGCTTGKTTTTATTCTTTACATCCCTAATTCCACACGTGCTCCTGATGGGCAGAGCTCAGCAGGAAAGGATTCCCAGCTTGTTTCCTCCTAAATCAGAACCTCTCCAGAGGAGAGAGCACCCAGAATAGTTTGGGAGCTGGAATGTGTGGAAGAGGAGGGAAACTGGGTTCTTCCAGTTTCCTGAGGAGGAAAAGGCTTGGAGAGAGAAGGATGATTGCCAGATTTAACTCCTTACTGTGGAAACACAGAGAAGAGCAAGATTATTCCCAGAGGAAAGGATCAGAGGCAGCAGACAGGAGCTCCAGCAAGGGAAATTCCAGCTGGTCTGGTGGTGGGGAAAAGGGATTCCCAGTRGGAATGGTTAAACCACAGACCCATGGAGATCTTTGTGCCTTTGCTCTCCTCACAGGACTCTGCTCTCAGAGCTGAGCAAGTGAAATTCTCTGCAGGGCACTGAAGGGTTTTAGCTTTCTCTGAAGGTGATAGAATGGACATTTTCCCATTTCCCTGATGTTGTCCCCGTTTTTGCCCTCCCTCAGTGCCCGAGGATTACACAGTCAAGGAGGCAGAGCTGAAGATGGGAAGCTTGCTTGGGCTGTGCCGTGGGAAAGCTCCAACTTCCACTCAGGTACAGCGGTGTGGGGTGGAAGGAGCTTGGTGCAGGGCCTTCGCTAAAGAGGAGAAAGGAAGAAAAGGGGGAATGGGCAGGTTGTAAATATCCCAGAATCCTGGWATGGTTTGGATTAAAAGGGACCTTAAAGCTCATCCAGTTCCATCCCTGCCATGGCAGGGACACCTTCCACTATCCCAGGTTGCTCCAAGCTCTGTCCAACCTGGCCTGGATGTGCAAAGAATAAATAGTTACGTATTTCTAGAGAGCAGGGGTGGGTGGTGAGGATCTGCTGCTGGCCATAACTCAATTCTCTTTGCTTTTTGTACTGTTTAGATTATTCGCTGTAGCCCAAAGCCATTTTTATTCTGTTTGATGACATTCCTGCCACAGGAATTGTTCCTGCACAGCGTTCCCACATTTCTGTACTCATTCTGATTGCTTGCATTTGGATTTTCAGCTCTTCTTGTACTTCATGGTTGGGAGTGACCAAAGCTGCGGCCCTGAGATGGAGATGGTTGTGGAGGAGACCACCTCAGTCCGAGAGGTGAGGCTGGCTGCTCCCCCAGCTCTCAGAGCTCCTGAACTACATTCCTGACACTTTGCCTTGCACAAAACAGGCAGAGGGGTTGGGAAAAGCCACACACAGAGTCAAGGAAACTCTGAGTGCAGCCAGTAATGACTGGGAAGTGTTGAATGTGCATTTTTCCATCTGTRAACTCTGGGGCAGAATTTGTTCAAGTAAAGGAACAAACTGACAGCACAGATTGAATKTTTTACCACTTTGGGAAAGCTGATGTAAATTTGTTGCCTGAAAACCATCTTACCCACAAAGGATTTAATATCTAGCCCAAATATCTCTTGTCTGTCTAATTATATTGTTTTAAGAATTACCCAGCAATCRGTCACTCTTTATGTCAGAAAATTCTAATGCAGATTTGTTGAAAATTTTATTTCCCACCTTCGGTGTTGACACAACTTCCACCCTGTGTTTTGTTTCTTTTTCAGTGTCTCAACTTAATGCTGCAGAAAGCTGGATTATCAGGTTAGTTGTGTTGTTAGGTATGTATTTTTTTAAAGGACATTTTTATTTTTTTAAGGCAGTTTATCCTACCCTAAACCGTGTAAGTTTTTCAATGRTGTCATTGAAATAGGAGGAGGAAGAATTCTAAACATCAAGTGTTTATAATATGTTTCTTTTTTTTAAAGAGCTAAAGTCTGTATAATATAGTTTTTTATTTTAAAGAGCTGAAATCTTTATAATATAGTTTTTTACYTTAAAGAGCTGAAGTCTTTATAATATAGTTTTTCATTTTAAAGAGCTTGTCATAGGTTCAAATGATAATTTGACACATGGGAATTCCTTCTCTTTCCTGTAAAACCAGGGAAAATAATTTGGTAGGTGAGGAAGAAACTTCTGTGCCAATAAAAGAGTATTTCCATACAGCAAAAGGTCTAGGGAAGGAAAAATGAAAGTGATAATTAATKTAGCCAGAGCTGTGTTTAAAAAGCAAATTAAAAACAAATTAYAAAGAAAAATGAGCCTTAACACTTTTGAAGAGTTGTGTAATATTTTCCCCAKCTGGCATTGTTGACTGATTAATTTTCTGTGTGTATCTTTTTGGGTTTTGGTAGGTGACAACTGGCATTTGAGGAGGCTTGACTGGTGTTATGAAGCAGGGGAAGCATTAAGTCAGGAAGTAAGAGGAGCCTATTTCATCCCTAGGTTCTTTGCTGCATGTTCTGTGGAGCCTTTCCCCATGGATCTGGGCTGATGTGGATCCTGTGCTTTCTCTCCCTGCAGAATGCCACCCTGAAGGAGCTCAACGTCTGCAGAGGAGACACTTTGGTTGTGAGCGAAGGAAAGCTTCCAGGAAAGGTAAAAGGACAGGGGACAGTGCCTGGAGACCTGGAATTCCAGAGTAGTTTGGGTTGGGAGGGACCTTGAATCCCATCTCATCCCACCTCTGGCACGGGCAGGGGCACCTTCCACTATCCCAGGGTGCTCTAATCCCCATCTTGGAACAGATCCCTTGCAAAATTATCATTATTTCTGCAGCATCATTATTTTTGCACCACCACCACATTCCCCAATAAATCATATMCCCAGCTGCCACATCCACACATTCTTTGGGCACTTCAGGGGTGGTGACTCCACSRCTTTGCTGAGCCTGTTCCAAAAGGTTCAAACCTTTTCTTCCTTCCTTTACTAAAATTGAGATTTTTTTCCCTTGTCTGCACAGAACATTTGAGCTACCTGGTGCTTTTTGTTCCCTTCCCAGGGTTTTCTGAAAATTCCCATCTGGTGGCTGAAGCCTTCAAGCCATAAAAAACACAGAGAGAATGCACAAGACCAAGTGAATGGGGTGACCTGGAAGATGGATGCTTTGCAGGTGTCTGCTGCAGCAGGTGAGCTTGGTTTGAAAAGAGTTTGAAAGGCTTGGAGAAGGGTTTGAAAGGAATCATTTGGGATTGCTCTTTGAGTCAAAATTTTAATCCAAAGCTGTAAAATCCTTCTGAAACTTATGAGGGGCTGCAGAGGTTGAATCAAACTTAGGGTGAAGGGAGCCACTTAGGAGACAGGTGCAGTTTTTGACAAAAAAAACCTGTTGTAGGGATTCCTCAGCTGGATTTGCTCCAAACTCCCACAGAATTTTGTATTTGTCACTCTCTGTACTGAAGGCAGTGGCAGCATTGTAAAGGATCTTCTTCGTGAGCATGGAGATGATTGGCTGCAAATGCCAGATCCTGAGGGCACATTTAATTCCCTTCAGGCTGTGTTGACTTTTGGGAAGCTGTGAAAGGAGTTGTGGATAAAGCCTGCATAGAATAAAAGCCTTTAAATGCAGTGTTTTRACTGTGTTTGTTCTCCCAAAGGTCAAATCCCAAATCAGCCAGGGCAGGAAAATCAAGTGATGGTTGAGAAGGCAGAAGAAAATGAAGTTGGGATAACAGAATTGGAAAATGGGGAACAAACTGATTTTTCATTTTGTATTAAAAATAGATTCYTCTGGTGCTGAGTTGTGTTGCAGGGATCCTCTCCTTGTAGTTTTCTTTGCATTTTCTCTTTCTGTCTTAAACCTTTTCTGTGTTTCACTTTCTGCCCTGCTGATTTCAGTAGTGGAGCTAAGAGCAATTGGACTTTGCTTGCAACAGCTTTAACCAATAATTAACATTATTTGTTAATGGGAATAACTGGGAATAACTGCCCCTAGTTCTGAAATTTGCAGTGTAGGATCTGTATAGGAACTGTTTGGAAACCATAACTGCTCCTAAATCTGAAGTTTGCAGTGCAGGATCTGTATAGGAACTGTTTGGGAACTACAACCGCTCCTAAATCTGAAATTTGCAGTGTAGGCTCTGTATAGGATCTGTTTGGGAACAATTGGGATGTGTTTTTGTGCTGTATATGGCATGGCAGGGGGTTGGAATGAGGCGACCTTTAAGGTCCCTTCCAACCCAAACCAGTTTGGCATTCCTTGATATTCTGGTTTTTTTTTTTTTTTTATGTGGACCCCAAAAATGGGAGGTCAGGTGTGTTCTCTGGGTGAAACCTGAGCATGAAGTGCCCGTCATCTCTCTCTATACAAATGATGTTGACTCTTGAATTTTTTTGTCTCTTCCTCTTCYCTCCCCCTTTCCAAGCTCCAGCAGAGCCCATCCACGCAGGCCTGGACCTTTGCTATGCTGGCAGCATAGAGATAGCAGCAGAAGCGTCTTTGGAGGAGCTCAAGATGCAGGTTTGATGTTCTYCTGGCTTGGACTCAAGCTCTGGAACAGCTTTTTTGGATTTTCTTTGCCCCTCTTTCCAGTCTGTTGTGCCAGGGCAGCTGGAGCATGTGGCTCAGACATTTCCTTGGTGGCCCTGCTGTCCCCATCCTCCCTGTGGGAGCCTCAGCTGGAGCTCTGCCTTGCAGCCTTTCTCTTTTATTTCACAGTGATAATCACAACCAAATCTCCCCCTGGGAAGCACACACCTCCTAAAAATCCACTTGGCCATTTCCATGTTGTTCCTTTATTAGTTTTCTGCATCTTTTTAAACTTTTATTTATTTCTCTATGTTCWTCAGATTCCACAAAGAATTGCTTTGGGGTGCACAGGTTTATCAGACAGGAAGGTCTGGCTAGGTTTCTTTGGGCAGAAACTAAAATGCCTTTGTGTGGTTTTAATACACTAAAATCCAAACCAAARCAAACAAAAAACACCCCAAAAGAAAAAATAAACCCCAAAACCATCCCAAACCCACAAAAAATGCATAACCCAGCCCTACCAGAAGGATCTGTTATTCAGCCAGTTCATTGTTTTACATGAACTGCATGGGGAAGGGTCTCTCACCTGATTCTGCTCCAGRCTAGCCCTTATTTTTGGTTAAAAAATGAAATTTGGTACTTTGGAAATGGAAGTTGAGAAATGTCGAGAGGGAGTGAAATGCAACTCCCTTGGAGGTTGAAAAGTGAATATTTCAATCCTAGCTGGTGTGGAATAAACCTCAATAGCTCACCCTCTTTTTTGAGAGTTAATCCAGTGGTTTTCTGTTTTTCCAAGGAGACAGGCTGCTAGAATTATTGAGCAGGAATTTGTGTTTTTCAGGCCCTGACCTTGCCCTGCTGCCAGGAGCAGGTTGTGCCCCTGCCCTTGTTCCTCAGAGCCTGGACCGTGGACAGCAGGCGCCCGGGGAAACTGCTCCGGGACAACAAGCGGAGACTCGCGTGGGTTTCTCGGGGAATGTTTCATGTGGGATGAGATAAATCTGCTCAGTTTGGGTTGGAAAGGATCTTAAAGAYGAGCAGTGCCACCCCTGCCATGGGCAGGGCACCTTCCACTGGGTGATCCYAGCCCCAATGTCCAACCTAGCCTTGGRCACTGCCAGGGGAATTCCATCCCAGCTCCTCCCAGGGAACAATTCCCAAAATCCCATCTAAACCTCATCTCTTCCAGTTTAAAGCCATTCCCTGTGTCCTGTCCCTCCATCCCTTGCCCCCCATCCCTGTCCAGCTCTCCTGGAGCCCCTTTAGGCCCCAGAAGGGGCTCTGGGCTCTCCCTGGAGCCTTCTCCTGTCCAGGTGAACWCTCCCAGCCATGCAGACAATCTCTGTTCTGTTTGCAGTGACTACAGGCTGGGTGCCAGAGTGGAAATCTGCATAGAACCAYTGCAAGAAGAAGAGAATTTGGGGTAAGAGCTCCAGATCCTCATTTCTTACAGCTCTGCATGTGAGGGGAGCTTTAASTGAGCAGCTTTTAACTTCAGTGCTATAAGGACATGGAAAACCTTGGAAGTTGTTTGTTCTTTCCCACAAACAACATGAGGGAGGGCAGGAAGGATTAAAAGCTGGGAATTTTGGAAGTGTGGCTCACAGGAATGTCTGTTCTCTCCTCCTGCCAGCCCCCATGAGCTGCTGCTGCGAGTCCAGATGGCAATTCCAGGAGAGAGGGACTACTCAGCCTCCAGAGATTTGGTGTGGGATATCTCCAAGGAATGCACCACCCGGGCTCTGAGGCAAACAGTGGCTTCTCACTATTGTCTCCCTGTAGATAAAATTGAAATWGCCAAATACTTCCCTGAGAGATTTGAGTGGCTGCCAATATCTAGCTGGGTAAGAGCTGGATGACAGAATCCAACTGTTGTTGGAGAGGAGCACATGTTGGTTTGGGCAGTTCCGTGGTGATTGGATCTAAGGAAAATTCCAAACTCTGCTGCTTTGATTTTATTCAGACACAGCAAATCTCCAAGAGGAAAAGGAGGAAAAAGCRGGAAAGTTTGCAGTCAGCACCTTATCACCTGAAGGATGGAGACATCATTGGTGTGAAGGTAAATTTCCTTGAATTARTTGTTGCATGAGGATTAAATTCAGGYACTGTCCCCTTTGCAGTACCTTCATTTATTCCTGGTTTTCTCTCATCCTGCTGCATTTCTGGAAGTGCTGGGCTTTGGGTTTGGACGTTGCATTGATAGGAAATTTGTTGCTCCTGCTCCTCTTTTCCRTTTCTYCTGGATCTTTTTGGTTGCTCTCGTTTTATTGACTGGATTTTTTTTTCAAATTTGGAATAAAATCCATCATTGGGATGAAAGTAAATTTCCTTGGGTTTAGTTGTTGCATAAAGATTAAATTCAGACACTGTCCCCTTTGCAGTACCTTCATTTATTTCTGCTTTTCTCTCATTCTTCTGCTTTTCTGAAAATGGAACGTGGGTTTGGACATTGCATTGTGCTCATTGATAGAAAATCTSTTGCTTCTGCTTTTTCTTTTCCATTTCTCCTGGATCTTTTTTCTTACTCTTGTTTTATTCACTGGATTGTTTTTCAAATTCTGACTAAAATCCATGGAAGTGCCCTTTAAAAATCACATTATAGATGTAAACCTATCAGATATTAGGGATTACTGAATTATGACAGTTCAATTTGATGGTGTAAAAAGGAATTACCCAGCATTGAGCTCTGAGCTAGTAATAATGTTTAGTTAGGAGAAGGAAARTGTATATTTAGAACCCATAGGCTGGGTTTTAGAGCAGAAGGAGAAAAATCTGATGTTTTAGCCTATTTATTGGAARAAATCCATCCCTGGAAGTTCCCMAGGCCAGGTTGGACAGGGCTTGGAGCACCCTGGGATAGTGGAAGATGTCCCTGCCCATGSCAGGGAGTGGAAYGAGATAATTTTTAAATCCCCTTCCAACCAAAACCATTCCAGGATCTTATGATTCTAATTAACTTGAAATTAAGTGGTATAAACCTAGTCAGAAAAATGCTCTGAAAATTAACTTTGTCAACTGAGCAACGGCTGGGAAATAAGTTTGACCTGARTTTGATCTCTGAAATCCTTTTTCACAACAGAACCTTCTCCTCGATGACACCAAGGACTTCAGCACCATGAGGGACGACATTGGGAAGGAGAAGCAAAGGCAGCTGGCACTGGAAAAGAAGAAAAGGTAGTGAGCATTTACCCTCATTTTTCTTTAGAAATAGGTAAAGTGGTTTTTGCTGCTTTTCAGAGGAGCTGTGGCTGCCCTGGATCCCTGGCAGTGTCCAAGGTTGGATGGGGCTTGGAGCACCCTGGGACAGTGGGAGGTGTCCCTGCCCATGGCAGAGGGTTGCACTGGGTGGTCCTTATGGTCCCTCCAACCCAAACCATTCCAYAATTGTAATTGGATAGTTTCTGAGGCCAGGGGTAGCTAGGTACTGTCAGGGCACACAATTCCAGCAATCCTGAAGGAAGCCTTGAATTACCCAAGCTCCTGGCTCTGAATGCTCCCACCCTGATCCTGGTGGTTTTTTCTCTTGGAACACCTGTTGTGGAGATAGAAATTAAATCCTTGGCTGGCTGGAGTTTTTCCAGCTGGCTGGAGCTCAGAGTTCAGGCCAGGCTCACCCTGCTGGGGCTGAACACTAAATATAACCTCTGTTCTATGTGTTCTCCCTTTGGCAGCCGCCAGGAGCGTGCCCAGGATCCCTTCTTCCCCGAGGAGAAGCTCCCCACAAAACCCCGGAAACCTGAAGTGGCTCTGTCCATCAACGTGGGTGTTTTCAGATAGCACCAGGAGCTGCTGTGCCCACACTACCCTCCACTCACCTGGCCTGCAGGAGCTCCAGCAGCAAGACGGGCTGTCCCAAAGCATCCTCAAGGATCCCTGAGGCAAAAAATGGCTGTAGGATTCAGGCTAACTCTGATTTTCTCCTGCTCTCTCTTGGGGAAGTGCTTGAAGGTCCCTTTCTCGGTGTGGTACTTACTCTCAGGCTGAGTAAATGCACTTTATCTCTGAGGAAAAGGATTAATATATTGTATAACCCCGTGGTGACTCTTTTGTAATCACCCTGATTGCTTTGTTGGGTCAGATCTGACCTCTTGCACCATCACTACTGAGTTTGAATGCAGTCCTAATCATCTCTTTATAGATTTTTCTTTTCTTCATTTCTGATCACTGAAATTGCTGCTGATACCAGAATTTGCTTTTCTCTTTTTATCTATAAACCTAAGTCTGTAGGAGCTGGAATCAGACCTAAGAATGAAGGAAATGTGGAAATCTCTGAACAATGTGTAAGCTCAAAAAAGAGCAACTCCAGGATCTGGGAAGATGTAAAACCTGGAGACCTTTTGTGATAYGGAGCAACAGGGAGGTAATCTTAGATTTTGAAGTTTCTAGGGCTTTTTTGGTTGCCCGTAAACTTCATTTTGCAGTTTCTAGGGCTTTTTTTGTTGTCCCTAAAATTGATTAATCAAACAAAACAGTTGGAAAAAACTGACAGATCCAATGTTTGACCTTAAATGGGTTTTACTGTACTCAGGAAAAAGCTTTTATTTATTTTCAGTGCTCCTTTTCAGAGGCATTTCCCTCATTTCTCATCTTTCCAGCTGTTCTGATACTCTGTTACATTGGAGAACAGGTTTCTCCTGGTGTCCTGAGCTGATTTCCAGCCTCYGTGAGAGCAGCGGGGGTGTGAGCAGCTCACTGAGGTCAGCAGGTCAGCAGTTCTGAAGTATTAACTYAAAAATGAGCCTGATTATCCTTAATTAAATCTGTGATAATGAGAGCACAGAACACAAGTTGCTTTTGGGGACTGCAGTAAATATTTKACCTATTTGGTGTATGAGTAGATTTTGTAGTAGGAGCTGCCAGTTCAGCAGATCCCTCAAATTTTGGGTACCTTTTGTAGGTTAACATTATTCTGGTATTTCAAACAACCTAAAGATAAAAACTGACACCCAGCTATCAGCAAAAAAAAGAAGTGAAAAGCACCATGAAACACACGATGATTATTTATTTCTGTGCATATCTTTAGAATCCGGCAGGTGCTCCTGTGCTTTTTGGGGCTGCTTCTCTGCAGAGGGGGCTGTTCAATGTCCTCCCTCACTCACTCGAATGCTGAAATCCCAGTTTCATGGATGCATTTTCTGCCTGTGCTGAGGGCAGCTGATGTTTTCCCTTCTTAATTTGTGTCACCCTCTTTCCATATCAGTTGTYCTGGGAGCCTGGGTTTACAGCAGGGATCAGAGGCGCTGATTCCAAAGGTTTGTGTTTCCAGGTGGTTCCATCCCATTTGGATTTATTTGCTGTCACTTTAGTTCCTCTGGTTCTTGCTGGAGAGCTGGCCTGAGCTCAGCCTTGCCTCTTTCATAACTCTGGTCTCTCCCCAAGAACACCAAGTTTGGAGAAATTGAAATGCAAATTCCAAGTGGGAATTCTGTGCCTTTGTTCAAGTGTAATGTAGCAGCGCCTGCACTGAACCAATCTTGGATTACTTCTAAAATTGGCTCAAAATGCATTTTTTTTTCCTTAAAACTCTTGAGGGCCATTCCACAATGAGAGAGTTTGTGGAAAATGGGGCTGGGGAGAGGAAACACCTTTTGAGAACGGAGTCTTGGTGACTCCACGGGTTCTGGTGGTTATTTGCAAAGCCTGGAAAAGCTTTCATCTTTATTTTTCAAGTGTTCTTCACAAAATAAAATGTCATTTCTATCTGCCTCCCTGGTCTCTGGGTGTCTCACTGGTTGGGAATGTCACAAACTGGTTTCTGACATCATTGTTAATTAGCTTTAATTTTCCAATCTGTTTCTGGACCAACATTCCCATCTCTGTATGGAGCTTCCTTGGGGCTCTTGTTTCTTCCTGAGGTTCTTGGTTTGGTCCTGAGCAGCTTTGCTTTCTCTCATGCTTTCATTCACTGAGAAGAAAGCACTGGGGATGGCAAGGAAGATTCCTGGACATCCAGACTTTAAAATCTCCTGGAAAATGTTTTGTCCCAATTTTAATTAATAGATTTGGCAGGTTATTTTGTCTGAGCAACAGCTTTTGACTGAAATTATAATTGACTTCTAGAAAATACTAAGCCACTTACTGGGAAATTATTATTTTTAGAGGTTTTTTTGTTTTTTTCTCCTTTCTGTTGGTCATCTGGCTCATCCCAACTCACTCAGACCTCGGAAAAACGCAATCCTCTAATTGTTATGAAGTGGACAGCCAGGAGAGGGGAGTGCAGAGCCACCAGCCCTTAGGAATTATCCCAGTCCTCATGGAATACAGGTGTTTAAACCTTGGCTACCCCTGAGGTGCAAATTTTGGGCCCAAACCTGCATGGAATTGGAAATTCAACCCCTGAGGACAACCTTGGCAGGGGTTGTCCCCTCTCCAGGTAAGGCAAGGTCTCTTTATTCCTCTGTATTTGCATAATTTGGGCACCAGCTGAAGTTCCAGGATATCCTGCTTCTACAAGGGCACGGAATAATTTTCACAAAAGCTTTCTTGGTTCAGCCCAACCAGGTGCATGGTTTTAATTGACTTATAAAGCATTTGTGCAAGGTTTATGTTTCTTTCCTTAGGGGTGGACTGCCTGTAGCATGGATGAGAGGGGCTTCAGGGTCCCTTCCATTCTAAGATTCTATATTTGGAGACTGATCCAAAAATTCTCTACCTGGAGAATGTGGATATCTGTTCCTGCTGCTGATGGTGAAGTGCTCCAACCAGCAGGTTTTTGTGCCTTCCTTTGGATCCACAAGGATTGAGGGGRGATTTTATGCATTACCAGGTTTTGGTCCTTCAGTTAAACAGAGCTGTGCTTCCTTGGGGCACTTCTGCAGGAAAATGAGACCAAATTTAAACTCCCCCCTGAGGTTGCTCCTCAGACATCTCAGATGCTTTGGAGAGAGTGAGTGGAAAAACCCRGATAAACCACACCAATCCAACATAAACATCCCACTTCCCCAGAGCAGCTTCTTCCCAGTCTTCTTGCTTCCTCTGAGACTTCTTGTGATGCCCTCAGCTGTGGAAGCTGTCACCACCTCTCATCTTCCCAGGGTCACCAGATCCTGGAGCCAGAGCCTGTCTGGGAATCTCATCAGCACTGGGCTGGGGGAAAGATAAAACTCCCTTCSTCGAGCACCTGCTGGCAGGAGCTCAGCTGGAATTACCCGGGGAACATAGAGGTATCTGCTTCCCAAGCAAAAACTGCCTTGCCTGCATTAAAACCAGATCGATTAGCTTTGTTAATGTCTCTTTTTAGTCCCAAAACTRACCCTTCATAGAAKGGTTTGGGTGGGAAAGGATCTGAAAAATGAACCAGAYCCACCCCTGCCATGGCAGRSACACCTCCCCCTGTCCCAGGGTGCTCCAGCCCCARTGTCCAGCCTGGCCTTGGRCAYYGCCAGGGATCCAGGGGCAGCCACAGCTGCTCTSGGAATTCCATCCCCGTCCCTTCCCACCCTCCCAGGGAAYAATTTCTTCYCCRGTAYCCCATCCATCCCTGCCCTCTGGCAGTGTGACCCCATTYCCTGTGTCCTGTCTCTCCATCCCTTGTTCCCAGTCCCTCTCCAGCTCTCCTGGAGCCCCTTTAGACCSTGKCAGGGGCTCTGAGCYYTCCCTGGAGCCTTCCCTTCTCCACCCCGCTCTCCCAGCCCGGCTCCAGCCTTGGAGCACTCCCTGTTCTCTGCACTTGTCCCAAGATCTCCCTGTTTTTCTCGCGTCGGGTCCCACAGAGTCCCAGTTTAGAGACAAAGCAAAGACCAACATTCCCCGACACGATTCACCAAGGCCGCGAGGCAGCCTTTGCCCGTAACGCCTTTTATTCTCCGCCGGTGCCGCTGCGGGCGGTGAGGAGCGATTTTATTTCCCGGGCCGCTTTATTTCCCCTCAGGCCGGGCCGGTTGCTATGGCCGCG